GTGTCAATATATTTCTCAGCCACCAATCACACATTCAAGTATAGCCCTGTTGTCATTTCCACACATTTTCCTTCAGTAGTAAGGACAATTACATGTGTAACATAAAATAGAGTATCCTGATATTGTGTGCAAAGGGAAGAGTCATGGCCATCTCCATTTTTTCTACACCAGCACATTCACTTGGAAGTCTAAGTACACTGTACCACAAGCCAACCAGGTTTGGAATATTCAAGTATTTCTGAATGGATGGCTAAAAATACATCTTTGGAGTGTATGAAGTTAATAAAGTGTGAGATCCCACATTACTGACCAAATACCGTACATCAAACATACAATTGTTGGGGACAGAAAGTGTTAACCCCTCCCACCCAGATAACACAAAAGCCAAACTACCTGATGATCTTTGACCATAGAAACACTAATATTTGGAGAACTAAAAAACATTTCAATTTTGAAAAAGTGCAGGATCCAAACATTATCAAGTATGTGCTCTGCAATAACATCATTAGTCTATCTACATGTAGACCATGCTGCCAGGTTAATTAATTTCACTTTTATGAGCTATATGCATAATTTCTTTCATTTTTCCTAAACTATACAACAGTCCTTTAGGAGATAATATAATCAAATTGAAAATATTTAGGAAGATTTGTGATATCTTCCTTGAAAAAATGACCTGAGCCAGGCAAGTATGAGCAGGATAATCAAAATCTTGAGAATATATAAACCACAATAACTTCCAAACCATCTGAGGTTACAGCGAATAAAACACGTGCCTAGAATCAAATAAGATGTACTCTCATACATACTGCCATTCTTCAACTTTTTTCATTGCTTGCACCAAAAAAAAAAAAGTGATAAAGCTGAAGCACATTTTTTAAAAAGGAATTTTTAAAAATAGAATTGAGCTTACGCCTCATAACAAAAACATTTTATACAAATAAGAATACAAGACAGATCGTTCTTGCCAACATTCAATATACTGGGTTACCTACAGCTCTGCTTTAATGGCAAACCTACATACACCACTGGTTCCATCCCATATCACTTGGTAGAGGAAAATATGAGTTCATGGATGGTCAAGGTTGGTTTTGATGCTCCAACAGACAAATTATAGTCCTAACAAGCATAAATAACAATGAAACCACCATTTCAAGTGATAGCAGAACTTGAGATGAATGAGATAAAACAGTACCTTTCCTAAATTAAACTATTTACGTTGGAACATCAGAAACTCACTGAAGCGGTGCGCCATATCTTCATCAGAATGAACTGGTCTTTTCTTTCATCATTTCACAGTGCATATCATTTCAGTAGGAATATAAGGAAAGAGAAAAAGCAAAGGGCACTACAATCAATTCCAGATTGGTTTTGGATTTCTCATTATTTGCCCTGCTATTCACCTATCCTTGTTATTGCACAAGACACGTGGACCTTGAAACATACCAATGACAAAAATGAACAGGAATATGTGTGGTCCAAGACAGAAATAATCTCATTACAAAAAAAATAAAAGAAAAATCCGTCTTCCTGGATTTATCTA